CATGTACTGTTACAAAGTTCATCATTAATACTTAATTTTTTTATCTACATTACTATTGCTCCAATTTTTTTATTTAATTAATGTGGTGAAAGGCCATTTTTCATATTATTTAAAACGTTAATTGGAAAATTAATGTAAATGTCATTATCAGATTTATCAACACCTTGGTAAGCAGTAGTGACTACACAATAATATGTTAGAATATTTCCTTCCATATCATTTAGAATTTTATCAGTCAGAAAGTAAGAGGATTCAAAAACTTTTTTAAAGTAAAGTGAATATTTAAAAGTTCAAAGCTTATTCATGTTTGACTTTCACAAATATGTTAATACAAAGAGATTATATCGAGTTTTTTTTCATGAAGTTTTTTTTTTGTACTACGTAAGATGTTTTTCTGAGAGTTTTAAGTTTTATTTTCAACACGGGAGACATTCAGGATGACGTGATATTAATGTATGCAGTGCGACACTAATCATAAACGTTTACATCTAGAAAAAATGTTATGCCTAGGAAAATTTCAAACTTCAAAGTGCCCTAACATCTGTCTGCTGATTGAACCAAAATCTTGGATTATAAATTATTAAGCTTTAATTATGAACTTTGCAGTCATTGTGAGGCTACAGCCATACTGTTTAAATAGTACCTTTTATTTGTTTTTTAAATAAATAAATTGTAATAAGATTTGTTCATAAGACTATGATTTTGATCTTTAGAGATCATTGTAGAAGAGACTTTGAGAAGTCATTGTGTCAAGATTAAATTTAAAACAATTAAAACTGAACTGATGATTTTGAATTGTCTAACAATAACCTTAAATGTTTACTTACAACCACTTATGACCGTTACTCACCTTGACTGACCACTAAAAATTGATAACCAGTATTAATTGACCAAAAAATATCGATACTGACCAACATCAACCTCAATTGATCAATAATGAGGGAGCATGACTTTTGTAGACTAATTTCCTTGAAATTAAAATTTTTTATTCCTCTCCTGTTTACCAAAAATAAAAAAAAAAATTATTTTCGCTGATTATTAATACAATAGTAACTTTAAGTGTTTTGGCTTATGGGAATGATTACGCCCTATATATGTTAAAATCATTTTATGATTAGCAGATAGCTTTTGAGACTGTTCTAGGTTTTTCTTACTTTCAATATGAAAATTCATTTTTAGGGTCTCATGGTATTCAAGTCTTACATTATTCTAAACTCGTCCAATAAGTATAATTTTTATGAATGTCACTCTTTCACTTTAACTACATCACCCATAGATTAAGTACACTAACTTGCAGAGCTATACCAAAAGATAGTTGTGATAGGTAATACAGTTAAAAAACCTAATACTTATACAGAAACGACAGAATTCGACAAGTTTTAGAAGCTTATTTGAAGTAGCTCTAAGCGCTCAACGTCTTGACAAAAGTAAATCTATACATACAGATGAAAGTTGTTAAAAGAACTCTGGGCAACCTTGCTGTGAAATTTCAAACAATTGTTTGAGATTTTGTTGAACCCTACTGTCCCAGCTACTCGTCAAAAAACAAAATAAATTGGAGTGAAAAAAATTGTATTAACTTGGCATTTTTGTATATATCTGCAGTTTGTGAATGACATAACTTAAAAACCAACAACAATGAACAGAAATTTTTTAAAATATATTCTTGGTATTAAAGAACACTTATTAAATCCTAATCTAACAAATATCATTTTGTTTATTTCTTCTTATTTACAACTTTTTTTTGGACCGTTGTTTGTTTTCTTATGAAAAAAAGTCGGTCTTTAGTCTTTTTGGTCTTTTAGTTTTAATGTTTATTTTACAATTGTAGGAATCAAAAACTTTACCCATTATTTTTAAAGTTTTATGAAAGCAACTATTGTTTACTAACTAATGTATTTATTAAGCCACTTACCAATGGTAGTGCTGTAGTTATTACATTTTTCTTCCAAAACTTTGATTTGATTTTTATAGGTTGTAACATTTTCTTGTAATAAAATAAATCTCTCATTAGCTGAATCTAGCTGAGCCCTATATCTGCAACAATCCGCTGAACATTTTTCAGTTGCTATACGTAATCTTTCTATTTCATCATTTAGCATTCGCTCATGAGCCATTTTATCTTTCTTGTAAATCTGAAGGTCTTGACTGACTAATTTAAGTTTTTCTTCCATTTCATGATACTTAATTTTCCACTGACTTGATTCATAATCAATTTTATTATTTTCATCAACGCTTTTAGGCTCAATCACAGTCGTCAGTTTTTCTGAAGTGTTGGAATATTTGGAATTTTCTTGATCTTCCGTTACTATTGTTAACTTTGTGTGTTGTTGACACATATTTTTATACATATCTCGTTGTTTAATGAGGCTTTCCAACATTTTGGCTTGCCTATCTTGTGATATTTGCATATCTGATAGTTCAGCTATGTATCTGAAAAAACAAATTTTTTTCAAGTTGCCCAAAAAATTATGTTTGGTAACGTTTACTGTTAATAAATTAAAAAAAAAAAATTTCTACTCATACATAATTTTATTAATTTTAAGTGTCAGGACATTAACATATAGTACAATTAATTTTTTCATGATTTATTATACGCAGAAATTCTAATTGAAATTTTTTCCCTCTTTCTTATGTCACTACTGACCCACCACAGTAATCACACTTATATCGTTAATAGTGTAGATATTTATACTTTATTTAATGCGGTGTAGGCAGAAACTGTAAATAAGCAAAGATATATTGTAAATTGTGTGTACTGAAGGAAATTAGATGTATAGAGGCTTAGATTACAGGCAGTTAGATGACTCTGTTTGTGTACTTAAAGTAAATCACTGTACTAGATAAATAGTCATTTGAATAACAGGCGATTTTTTGAGACTATACGTAAGATAACACATACTTAGATCATTAAAAATGTTTGAATACTTACTTTCTGAGGTTTTAGTAGTTTTAATGTTAGTATTTATACAAGCTTGTCTACAACTCTTATATCTATTATATCATTCAATTTCTATCACATAAAATTGATCTAGAAAATAATGTTTAAAAAAATTTTTAATTTAAATGAAACAAATATAGAACCACATATATAAGCTAGAATGGATTAGAAATCATGAGGTACAAGCATTTGCCGAACATAGATCATGACGTGAGTGAATTCGACTTAAGCTTCAATACTAGTGTTGAATTGGAAAATGAACTGGCAACATGAGATCTAGTGACAGAGGAAAGTTATCTTAAGATCATACATAGCATTTTTAATGAAATTTGAACGTTAGTTTTTTAACATCGTAGCAAATGAGGCTATTTTTTAGCAACTAAGAATTTCATGCAAGTGCTTTAAACACATGTTAGAAATGTCTAAAACAGATTTTTAACGTCTCAAATGAGCAATTTAAACACATACAAAATAAGCCGTGTAGGTTACAATTGCATGAGCCGCTGTTTCACAAATCACAAAATACTGCTGTTTTTGGCCATTTCTTTCAGAATTGATAACTTGCGTAATGATTATTATCGAAGGTTGAGAAAACAAAAAATTGGGCTGCTTGGAAATCGACCTTAAAAAAGTTGTTAGCCAACCCGTCGTAAAGGTAACCATAATCAACAAGACGGTTTCTCCAGGGAAAAGTCTTTCCATTTCACGATAGATAGATATTATGTCTAATGAGGATACCCTCAAACGTATTATTTTTAGTAGCCATACATATTAATCTAGTCAAAGTACCATAAAAATTAATTGAAAAAACAGATGTTAGTGAAGCTGTCCCGTGAGATAGCCCCCACAGGAAGACTTCATTACTCTCCACAGCTAGGCTCCAAAGATATTGAGGAAGCACAATTAAAATAAATAAGCAAATAAAAACTAAACGACATCACGTTAACCTCGTGACATAAATTAATGATTTTTTTAGCATAGGATAGCTAGAAAAAATTTTATGTGCTCGTGAATAACTAAAATACCAACGTTTTATCCAAATTTGATCTCTTAATATTAATAACAATGTAAATTATTATTTTCGACAAAATTGCCAAAAATGGCGGTTTTTTTGCTATTTCCAAAAAATAGCACACTCGGCCTAGCGCAGCTCAGATTGTCTTGGACTCGAAAATTACTTATGTGATATTTTTTTTGCACGATACATTATTTCCTTGTGGACGTATAAAATCTATTTTCGCTATTTTTAACCTTTTCTTATCAGGCTTGGGTTAACTATTTGCACTGTTAAAAATCTATTTAATTTGTGACAGTGTTCAAAAACTAGAGCTTAAATTTTTTTAAGATAGGATCCACGAGATAGGATACAGTTAATTTTGTTCGTTTGTATGCAAGAAGCATTATCTTGAAATTGATTTCAAATCGGAGATTCGGAACATAGTCAAATTAACGGTATCACGGCATGCAATAGTAAGTAAAAGAATATCTGACATGGACAACAGCCCTCGAAATACTGGAAAACTGACAATAGCACTCGACTGCCCAGCTAAAGGAGAAGGTAATGCAATCACGAATTAGAAAAACATTAAACTATAACAAAATGAAATGAACACGCAAAGAAAAAATATAGATACTAAAAAAAAATTTACTAGTAAATAAAGATGATTGATGAGATTAATGCTTAAGTAAAATTTACTGTAGAAAGTATTGGAGAGTGGGGGATAAGTGAGAGAATGACGAAATTTCCGTACAAAGAAGCCGGGAAACGAGAAACATAAGAATCATTGGGAGTCGTTATTATCTCTTCTCTACAATTCACAAGTTTAATCCCGCAGTGAGATCCCGATAAGCAAACTAAACGTAAATATTATATCACATGAAATTTATTATAATCTCACTAGCAAGTATATTGAGTAAAATCATTAAGATTCGAACGCTGTTAGCTGGCACCATAAATTAGTAATTTATAAAACTATTTTAATTAGTAATCAAAGCATATCTACTAATCTTACATTAATAATACATCCAACATTTTAATTATATTATGCAGTATTTAATGTATTATGCATAAGATATTATTAACGTCAAATATTATATTATAACATAAGAATGAATTTATTTGAATTAAAACTTGACGAAAAGTTTGCTTACTTGTTCCAATTGGTAACTCACTTACAACATAATTAGTAAACTTTATTGTTATTTTTACTTAATTTTTTTCACTCCACAGCTAGTCTGATAAATTGTGCGTACAGCACCACTGTATTACTGTGTTACTCTTCATATATATACTATCATACATTACATTGTCAAAAAAACACCTTAGATGGAAAA